CCTAATTTGCAAACGCATCGCAGCCCGCAGTCGTATCCTAATTTATTTTGACTTCGCAATAGTAATCGGTGAAGGTGATGTGCGATGCAACATCGTTCTTTCCATTGCGTTGGTATACGTGCTTATGCTATGCATGCTAACTATATCTGCGTGCCTATGCGTACGTACTAATCATATTAATTGGAATCTACATTGGAATCTTAACGTGTAAGATATCATAAAAGCATAATTAAATGAAAACAGGATCCTCTGTAATCATAATCCCCATTGTTAAGAGCGAGCGAAAAATTAAAATATTTTTGCATGCAAAATTAAATAATATGAGTTTTACCTACCTCTTGTATTCTTTTACGCTTTCTGTAAATGAGCAATGTTTAAAAATGCAGAGCTTCAAGCGTGTCTCTGTCGTTTCAACAGCTGGTCTGGTCTCGAGCACAATATTTGTAAAGTGCAGGAATGTTAGAATAATTGATTTTGGTGTGAAATTGCGACATCGTGTAGAGTGTAGAGTGGAGAGAGACAGTGGCGGAATTTCTGGTGAAAATGACCAAAATGCCCGGCCGAATTACCCAACAGCAACGTTTGTGCAGTATATTGTTAATGGGCGATGTAGAGCACATCCGCCGACATAAGTACGTGCCTTTTTGCGATTTTAACCGATTGTTTTGTTGTACTGCGGACGCCGGATGTCCGTGCGAATAGCGACAAAGATGTGTACTTTGTTGACAACTTGTAATTACGAAATGCCTACCTAGGCACAAATTAGGGAAACGGCGCGCGGGGCGCATTTAGAGATGGCTCACTCAGTACTAGCGACGATTTTGACGCTTACTTTCATACGGAAAATAACTGGGATCTCAGAGGAACTCAAGGTAGAATGAAGATGGTTGCCAACGTCATATTTCTTGGATTAAAACTGGTTCAAAATCATGAAGTTCTTGTATCAGATTTTGCTGTTTTGATATTCTTTTATTTGAGATTTTTGACAGTAGCAAGTAGAGATGGGTAATGGGTTAAAACCCATTCCACCCATTTGGGTTAAAACCGGGTTAAAACCCAAATCACCTAGTTTTAACCCATTATAACCCATTTTTGTGGGTGAAAATGTTCAATAGTGATAAAAATATAAAATAAGTAAATTAAAACCCTAGGTCTAGTGAAAAATATTCGTGCTAGCTTGTGAAATGAAAACCAAAACCACTCATTCAGCTTAAAAAACAACGTGTTAGATTAAAATCACTTTTATTCTAAGAAAACTAGCAAAATGACTTCGACTTTTTAAATAACTTTACGGGACCTATTGGAATCTGTTCTTCTAATACGACACTCAAGAATGTCTGTGATTATCTTAAGTGGGAGAGCCAAGATATGATGACATCATATTTATTGAACCAGAAAATTTATTTTTGTTCTGAAATATGTCGTGTGCGTTATCAAGTAATAGGATGCCATTTCTAATGATACTTATATCACATTATTGTATATCAGTAATTTGTTGTAAAATAAATAAGATAATTTTCAAAACACACCATGTTTAGGCTCCTCTAGATACGATAAGGTTGAATCATGATGACAGCATGGTTGTTGATAGGTACTTGTCCAGTGCAAAGGCCAGCAATGAATCTGATGAACCTTTCATCTGACCTGAACTTTGGACATTATATTGAGTCTTTGGCCACGACTGCAGCAAAAAGACTCTGAATTCTCTCAAAGGTCAGGAGATACTTCACACCAGTACAGCTTTTACAACTATACCAAGCTCAAGTCCTTTCCTGCATGGAGTATTGCTGTCACCTATGGGACGGGTCTGCCAAATACCAGCTGGCAGCCCTGAACTCGATTGAGAAGCGCGCCAAGAGACTCATCGCTGATAAGGCACTTATTGACGCAAAGTTGCAGAGCCTCGAACACCGTCGCAAAGTAGCTTGCTTGTCTGTATTCTACAGGATACATTTCGGGGAGTCTCTCTATGACCTTATACCTCCGTCACCATTCCATCTCCGGTGCACGAGACGCCGGTTGGGATTCCACCCTTATATCGTAGACATCCCACAAATTCGCACAAAGCGCTTCGCTTCTACATTTTTAATACGAACTGCTAAGGAGTGGAACTCCCTGCCTGCGGATCTGTTTCCGGAACGTTATAACCTGGGCCTTTTCAAGGCGAGAATGAATAGGCATTATCTGGGCGAGCATGTTCCATCATCGTCTGCATCGTCACTTTCGTCTGCAACATCAGGTGAGATTGCGGACAAATGCTTACCCATTGTTTATAAAAAAAAAAAATATGATGTGTAATACCCTCAAATTCACGTCCCGATTTTCCGCTTAATGTGATCCAAAAGAAAAAAAAAATATTCAGGTCATCCATCTAGGTGGTAAACTTGCAAGCAATCTGCTAGCTGAAATGAACGAATCTCATGAAAGTCTAATAAATAATTTTAAACTGGGGGACCCATTTTCAAAGTCGTTCTTCATGAATCCAACAGATATTCACGAAGTCAGTTCTTACAGTGATCAGCTGAAGGTTAACTGCTCTGCTGGTATTGATGGCGTTAGTGTATCAGTTGTCAAGCACATAAAAGACATTATTGTTTCTCCACTTACGCACATCATAAACCTGAGTATTTCTACTGGTGTCTTCCCAGATGTCTGGAAACTGGCTCTTATTACTCCTATCCATAAAGGGGGAGATAAAAAGAAGCCAGAAAAGTATAGGCCTATATCTTTGCTTGGAATATTCTCAAAAATCCTGAAGAAAATTGTAAACAAGCGTTTAGTGAGTTTCCTGGAGTCTAACAGCCTATTATCGTGCGACCAATATGGTTTCAGAAAAGGAAAATCCATATAATATGCCGTAAATGTGCTAGTTAACTCAGTGTGTAGGGATCTCGATGACGGGTCTAAAGTGGTAGGGATTTTCCTTGACCTGGCAAAGGCCTTTGATACCGTTTCGTTCGGTCCCTATACTTCTTAAAAATTTCGAACACCTTGGGATCAGGGGACTCTCTTTAGAATGGTTTAAAAGTTACCTTACAAATAGGCATATAGGTAAGCACAAATATTAGTGATGAGTTACCGATCAATTATGGTGTTCCACAAGGGAGCGTACTTGCACCTACCCTGTTCATTATTTATGTCAATGATATTCAAAATGTACTCTCTGGTACTTCCAAAGTTATCTGTTATGCTGACAACACATTAGTATTATTCCGTGAGAACACCTGGTCAGCTGCTTTTGAGCGTGCGGAGCGAGGAATGTATATGATAAAGGCCTGGTTAAATGGAAACCTTCTGTCTCTAAATGCAACTAAAACTAAATATATATGTTTCCATAAAACCTCGGCCTCAAAACCGAATCATTGTCCTAAAATTCAGGTCCACTCAAATTGCAATGGTAAATATCTAGGCGTAACCATTGACCGGTCCAACCAGAACCTCTCATTTAAAGCTCATATTAGTGCCACTGCCATACGGACCAAAAAAACTTATTCATATTATGAAATCTTTGCGGAATTGTGCGGACAAAGCAATATTACAAATAGTTTACAAAGCCCTCATTGAATCCATCCTTAGCTACTGTATCTCTGCCTGGGGAGGGTCTGGGGTTTCGTCTATGCTGATCATAGAGCGTGCACAGCGTGCAATTTTGAAGGTCATGCTTAATAAACCCTTTATGTGTCCAACAGAGTCCCTTTACCAAGAAGCGAGTGTTTTAAGCGTACGTCAGCTTTACATCTCAAAGATTGTTTTGGTAATGCATCGAAAAGTTCTCAACTCTGATGAATACCCAACCATACTAAAGAAAAGAATCTTTAAAGTGAAACTGTTTACTGTTCGTTCCCGGTTTGCTCAGCGTCATGTGGAATATATGTCTGCATTTGTATACAACAAAATATGTAAAAACTGTGATATCAAGCACTGCTCCGTTCGACATGCTAAAATAATATTGACTAATCATCTAAGGTCACTTTCCTACTAGCAGACTGAGAATCTTCTACAACAGCAGATTTAGCGTGAACTTGTGCAGCCACCCACTGACACACACACACAACACACACACACACTGATACACACTTTCATACATACATTATGCTTAGTTTCTGTTTTTGAAGTTACCTAAATGTTGCTTTCTTTTTTATTTTTCTATTATATCTTTCTTTTTAAGTTAACATACTTGGTGATTTGCTTTTCTGTCAAAATTGGGTTTTTGCTGTGCGTTTCGGTTGCCCACGATACAGGCTTTGCCTAGTGTGGGAACCATTATTTTTGCCTACTTTGTAATATTTTGATTTGAATAATCTATTTGTGCGATGCCGTGTGATGCCGGCTTAGAATAGCATCACCCCAATTCAACCCGTGGGTGTCGTAAAAACCGACTAAGGGATATTCATCCAGGGAATGGGCAGCAGCGTTCTCTATAAATGCATCATCTTACACTGCGCTCGCCAATCCGCCTGCCAAGCGTGGTGAGTATGGCAATACCCCCCGATAGGGGGAGGCCCATGTCCAGCAGTGGACTGTTGTGGCTGTTATAGTAATCTATTTGTATTTGTATTTTGTATTTCTAACATATCAACTTTACCTACCTACCGAATTGATAAGCTTTTAAAGATCGTGCCCAATATTTACTTCTGATATCATGTAATTATTGCATCCTCTAACTGAACATTTCAAATATCCATATCAATTAAAGTTCCGAGTCATAAAACTACCGTGAATTTCATTAACAAGACTATTATAAGCTAGCACGAATATTTTTTAATCGACTTAGAGCTTTAAAATATTTATCTTAAATTCAATCTCTATTCAAAATTTTAACCCACAAAAATGGGTTATAATTGGGTTGAAACTGGGTGATTATTGGGTTTTAACCCACTTTTGGATTTTAACCCGGGTCATTACCCATCTCTAGTAGCAAGCAACCTTGGCTATTGAATACCAAATTTTAAAACACTTCTCGTGTTAGGTAAACAATTTTTGGAAAAGTTCCAAAATTTCACCGCAGGCAGGATTTGAACCTTGCTTGAACCTGCGACCTTCGACATCAGTACTGCCGACGCCCTAACCAACTGGGCTACCGCGGTTCCAATCGAACCCGCGAAATTAAGGAAGTATATCTTGTCCACTATCGCGTGGATGGGCTCCATCTACCGGGATAGTTTTGCAACTAATTCCCAGCGACTAATTCATTCTTTACAGATTGAATGTAGTCAAAGCGATGAAAACCCGCGATAAATTGAATACCAAATTTTAAAACACTTCACACCCTGGCTATGTAACAATTGACAGTCGCGAAATTTCTGAATAGGGTCGAGTGAGCTTTCTGTATAATCTCTATTTTGTAACCTAGGTTTCGAAGTTAGTTATAGGTTTGCTGATACTAGTAAGATATTCTGAATAAACCGCCCTGGTAATTCTCGCTCGAATCAGCGCAACGTTCACGTGCATCGGTTCGTTTATCTTCTTAGCGGTTTATTTTATGGTGGGCTCGAGGAAACATTAATTCCTTATTCAATTTCATTGCGGAACTAAAGTAAATTCTTGATTATGCCTTTTGAACATGCAATTTACCTATGCTGGTACCTACCTTATTTATTTATTTAAATTTATGCATAATGTAGGTATATGGGCGGGCTTAATGCCTAAGGCATCTACCAGTCTACCTTAGGGCATGTAGAATGCCCTACCTACCTTCCCTACTCTTGTCTGACCCACATCATTTTGTTGAATTTCCACCGTCGAAAATTGCTATTAGCATTTAACTCCACAAAGCCAACAACAATTACACCAACTAGTCCCTACCTACATAACAAGAATGTATTCCAGCCGGTGCCATTACGCGAAACAGGCAACCAACATTTGTGGCAATATCACAAAATAGAGAGTTTACAGAAGGTTCACTCGGCCATATTTCGGATTTTCGCGATTGGCACTTGTTATATAGCCAGGGTTGCTAATGTCAAAAATCTCAAGGTATAAAAATATCAGAACAGCAAAATCTGACAAAGAACGTCATAGGATTCTGAGTCAATTTTAAATCCAGAGAAGAAATATGACGTTCGTGTCAACCACCTTCTCAGTTACGTTGACTTCCCCTCAGATTCCGGTTAAAGTCAGTAAGCGTCAAAATCGACGCTAGTACTGAGTGAGCCATCTGTATAGGCGCCCCGCGCGCTGTTTCTCTAATTTGTGGCAATATCGAGTTATGTTAAAATTAATCACCGTTTCGCAACTGCAGTTTTGTATAATGAGCTAACGAGGTAACTAATTAATATGTTACGAGCTTTGCAAATCGGAGAGTGGCCATTCAACAAACCAGGCTAAGCGAAGCCAAGAATAGGTACATAGATAGTTTAGACCAATGATATTATATGTAGGTTCTGTTTAGACAGTCAGGCAGGTAATCGTGCATTTTTACAGGAAGTCGGTTTATTTTCGTTTACCACCATATGTTCCATGGGAAAAGTTGTTCAGTTTCATGGTTTGAACACACCTGCAAAGTTTTCGTTACACCGTCCCTACACCCTGTATATGCACCCTGTACACATTAAGCCTGTCTGTATCCCTTGCAAAGCAGAGCATAAATGGACCAAAAGCTGCTTATCATATTAGGTATGATCACCAATTCTGACAATCGTTTGAGGAGGATTTCGTGATTTCAGGAAGATACTTGTAAAACATAATGACTGGGACCACAGTTGCCTCTTATACCATCCGCGGGAACGAGGTGATGTTATTCTAAGCCGGCATCACATGACATAGAAAAGCGTACCTCATAATTTTCCATCATGGCATGTATTGTGATTGTGATTGTAGGACGTTAAGAAATTGCGCCTAGAGTGGCAGAAGACGACTCAAACGACGGTTAACCTAAATTGTTTGATTGCCTCTCACGGCTGTCCCTCGGACCCTATCAGACCCTCGACATCAATAGCCCAGCAATCTTCGCGGCGAGTCAATGAACACATATCAATGGCTTTTCAAACTACCTACACTATTATTTGTACAATACAGCAATCGCAGAAACCTATAACCCATAAAACTTTATTGCATTGACATAATTTTTTTATTCTGCATTCACTCATTTAACATGCGCTTTAAACCAAGCCATAACTCAAGATGATTTAAGGATATTTTAAGATTTATCTTTCGATTTATTGATGGCACTTTTTTCCACTTTTGAATGTCATTGATAGTTCTCAGAAAAGCAATCGTGTCTCGTCTAACCTTTTGGACAGATAAACAAACGGATAGCATATTTGTATAAGCGAATTCGCCGAAAAACACATAGGTAGATGTACCTACTCGTAGCTGTGGCATTGTGTGTAGCACCACCTGGGGATTATTTAATGTTTGTAACCATAACATGACAGCGTGCAATAAAACACAGACTGTGAATTATACAAGTGGCTGGTCGACCGACGCGGTACGGAAATGGCGTGGAAAGGCACTTTTCGTGAGCGAATGGGACTATTCGCAGGAGAGCATCATGAGTTCTCTCATAAAACACACGCACAAATCCTTATAAAGCTGTATGTGGCTTATTCAATTTGACAGTGTTGAAAACAATAATCGCCCATTCGCCACGCGTTCGCAGAATGTCTAAAATAGGCTCTGACTTAGTTGAATCTTGGCGTTTCCTTATGAGCGAGGGCTGTGGGCGGCGCTGGTTTACACTTCCCGAGACCGAAATAATCCAATCCACAATCGACGGCATCCGCCATTGAACACTGAGCTGCTCGCTGCTCGGCATGGCTGTTGTGATGAAGCAATAGCCCGCTTTAAAAATAACATGCCTCTTCACGTCGATATGTTACGATGATTGAAGCTTCTCCACGAGATCCACTTGATATCACATGCCCACGTGCAATTGAACTTACTCAGAAATAGATAGGTAACTTATTTAATAATAGATTGAAAATATCTATGGAGCCGAAACTGCACCGCGCTAGTCGCAACGAGACGCTATCGTCCTCTAATCTAATAGCGAAGATAGCGTCCAGTAAAGTCCAATTGATGGGATAACGAGAGGGTTTTATGGCGACGCGACGGTCGGCCGGCAGTGGAGTAAAGCTTTCATCAGCTCGCAGTGAGCGAGTTTATCGCCGGACCCCGGATTCCGGGCGAGTGTTGAGTGTCCGCCGCCCGGAGTGTCCGGCTCTCCGGCCCGGCTGGTGACCGCACGGAGTCATCTCGGATTCTCGCATGACGCTCTCCGGAAGCGGCGACCGGTTCCAAGCATTCCTATTTCACGAACGCACTAATCCTTTGAGCTCTCTAAAAGGCATTTCAGACAGTTAAACCCTTACCTCCATCAAGTCATGGCTTTGATTCAAACTGTTGTGTCCGGATTTTGGAAATGATAATTCTCCAACCAAAGGGACATTTATTTGAAAATTCGTGTTCTAGTTCTAGCACAGCGCACAGGCACACGTTCACGCGTGATTGATCTATTAAACTATTGCGTGACCTATCAGCCGGCACTATTCCCAAATTCCCGAGCCGTGACATCCATAATTATTCGGAACAGGAAACAGAATGAAATAAATTTCTTTTTATACGCAACGCTGCGATGGCCTTTGTTCTGTGATTGCATCGAGTTTTCGCATCGCATGATACACGGAACGTTTTTCAATCACCTAACTAGGCGTGGTTTATCCACGGTTAAATAGAATTTAATGCAGTTTTAATGTTGTGAAGCGCTGTGCCGATTATAGTACAGAGGCTTACTATTGCGTTAAATAAATTGCCTCGTGTAGAGACAATGGGCCGCCGCCATTAGCGAGGCACAAAAAGAATCTCGATCTAACGCCAATTTTGTTTGATGTAGGTTGCTAAACACTAATTACACCGAATTGCTCTGTTCATTTACGCTATTACGTAACTCGGTACTCCAGTTTTGTGATGGTCCATGTGCTTATGCACTTAAGGCATAGAGTTGATACGGTAATATGCTGTGTAAGAGGTTTCGATAGCGTTCTTTCATCGTAAATTATGCAGCCTTATAGCTGCGCGCAAGGCTCCCGACGATACTCAAGTTGACTATAAACCATTCATTTCCTTACAAAGTAAATTTGAATAAGTACCTAACTACCTACTGCTTTTATTGTAAGTCGAAAATAATTTAGTAGTGTCGCGAAAGAGCATAAAAGTTATTATTATTGAAGTTCATGGTCGCTATTTAATTTAATTGATCGTCATTCTTGAAACTTCTTGCTAAACGTCTTGGTTCTATGTTGTTACTTTATATTTTCATAGCCGGGGGCCTTTCGACTCAACAGTACAGTACTCTCTTGATACTTAGGTACTCCATAGCCCTCCGCCCCGCGGGTAGATGCTCATTGGTTAACCTGCTGCCTCTTCCCAACTGCTCCAGGCGTTTTCTCTTACAGGCGTAAAGAATGGATATCATTTTGCAATTTCATATTTTTTATGAGAAACCACTTGCAAGCGCTCGTTATACGCTGTTGTGGGATCGTCGTTGCACAATGAGTGCGGGTAATACAGTAATACTCGTATCAACGTAACGAGGGAGCTAAAATAAGTGTGGAATTCGTTCTCGTTATTGAATGAGTGTCTGTGGCTCGAGCGGCACAAATTGGTGATTACAAAAGAGCAGCTATTGAGACGTCACCGCGCCGGTTCTCTATCCATTTGCATAAAAATAATTGGCATAATATATTTTGGCACACTGTAATTTAAACTAATGATACTTACGCATAATTCATGTACGCATAACAGTTTAGGCATAATTTCTTTACGCACAAAAAATATTGCCATAATAGTACATAGGCCTAAAATACAAAACCATAAATTGACATACCCATAATCAAAATAGGCATAAAAATCTGTTGCATTAGAAGAACCCCTAAATTGTATAAAAATAACCTAACCTAACCTAACCTAACCTAAACTGACCTAATTTAACCTAATATATTTAAAAAAATACTCAACTGACTTACTTTTCCTGCCGTTTGAACTTAATAAAAAATATATGATATTAGTCCAAAAAAATTATGACAAAAGCAATTATGCCAAAATATTGTTAGTATAAAATACAATAGTCTAAAATATGATTATGCGA